TTAAAGTTATTACAGGTGTAACATTGTGTTACACCTTTTCCATTGTATCCCTCAACTCTGATACTAAGGTAGCTAAGAGTTTTGAGGTCGAATATTTTTAGGTTATCTAGATTTCGGGGGAGTGTTATTAGAATGATGGGGAGGGCGCGTTTGGTTTTTCGTCCGATAAGTTGGTTAACTCTTTCTGGCGTGTAGCCAAGAAGTTCTAGATCCTCTTTGATTTCCTCGGGTTTGGTGGTGCGGGGGAGGCCTTTGATGACCACTTTTATTGGGCGATCAGCTTTGGCTTTGATAGTATAAAATTGAAATTTAAGTTTTTTGAGTAGTTGTACTACTATCTTCTTTCTTTCGGGGAGTCTGTATATAATTTTAAGAAATCACCCGTTAGGCGGGATCTTATTTTTGGGAACACTTTAGTAATAGCGGCCATTTGAGTTTTGTAGTTTTCTTCTACAAATAGCATGATCGGTGAGGGAAGTGGGTTTTGAGCGGTGCTCTGATTGGTCGAATTATTCGACTCGATATTTCTGTTTTCCGTACGGGGGAAGTGGGGTTCTTTTCTATGACGAGAGAACCTGGGTTTTCGAGGTTATTAGAATTAAATCTTTGTGGAAGTTTAAATTTATTGGGAGATAAATTTATCTCCTCGTTATCGGGAAAGTCTAAAACAATTTTACGAGTGGTTTTCCTTTGAGAGGGGTACTCAAAATTTGAGTTATCCTTCCTTTTACATGGGTTAATATTTTGAGCATTACTTTTAGGCGTAGTCTGAGTAAATTTAATAGGAGAGTTAGATGGGGTTTTTTCATGGTGAAGGCAGCCAGGATAATACAAGGGTCATAGGAGTCAATGTCACTTACCGCAATGGCCATCGTCTCTTCGATGTCTTGCAGCTCCGTGAGTGCTCTCCGGTTGAAGGATTCGTCAGGGTAGTGGTCGGGCATCTGTCTGAGTGAATCCACACATGCCTGCTTACACTTGCGGAAGGCCTCCATTTTTGCTAGTTGCGCCTTGTTGAATTTCAGCTGCTCGCATGGTGTAAGTTGTGGCTGAGGTGATGGCGTCCTTGAGAGTGTCCGTTGCGTAGATGCCTGTTCCAATTCCATATCCGTTGGTAGGTTAGCCATGTCCGAATCTTTGCCATTTCCAGAGAAGGGGAGAGAGTAGGTAGAGTCTGCTTTGTCTATAAAGCCCTGACAAGGGCTGCAGAAGTCAGATGCTCTATTAGATGGGGATACGAGGTGAGGGTTGCCTAAGCAACGCGGCCCTGTAGCGTTCGCCATTCTTGCAGCTGATCGTAGAATCCGTGCAGAGCGTATAGATGACGCGTCCGCACACTTCGACGTCCAAGTCGGGAATTTTTCTCACTCAAACAATAGGCGATGCTTTTTTGGGCTTCTGGACTGTAAGAACAGTCCTCAATCCCATATCTGGACAAGTCTTCGATGAGGGGCATGGCGAGAGTGGGGTTTTACATTCTGCTAGGTGGCATGACGGCGATTGGATGATCGATGGGATCCGGGAGGCGTGGCTTCGGTGCTTCGTCTGGATGGTGAGTTTGGAAAAGTTTTTGACTTGGCTGAGAGCTTAGTGACTCCTCTCTGATTGGTTGCTGGGTAAAGTGAACAGTGACTCCAATTGGCTGCCTTAGGGACTGGGGTTTAAGAAATGGGGAGGCGCAAGTCTAGTGGGGAAGGCAAGAGAAAAATAGTGACAAAAATATTTAAAGAAAGTAAAATTTTAGTAAAATGAGGTGCAATAAAAGTATTGCACGAAAAATTAAACTTAAGGATGATTATACGAATCAAGAAGTATTCTTCTTGGTCTTTTCGAATTATCATTAGAGATGTACGGAATTAAGTTTTGCATATTATAAATGTTGGTAGATCATCAAAGAAGTTAATTGCAATTTTCTGAATATGGGCTTTAAAACTGGTAATTTTTAATGCATTACGTATGTCATCATTGCGCATATATCTTGTGGCTTTGACAATCATACGAATTAAAGAATTTTGCAGAGTGTCTAAAATATTGATATTTGTTTTAGCAGCGTAACCCCATACTGGACTTGCATAAGCTAAAATTGGACGCATAACGGCTGTATAGAGAAGCACTTTGTTTTCTATATTTAAATGAGAGTTCCGGCCGATTAAGGGGTAGAGTTTAAACATAATTTTCCGGAACTTATCGCGTGTGTAAAGAATGTGTTGTTTCCATGTTAGGTGCGTATCGAAAATTATACCGAGGTATTTAGCTTCCTGAGACCAGGGGATCTGTTTATTGTACATTATGATTGGTGGTGGGAGTGAGTGCTTTTTTGTAAAAATAATAGCTGTGGATTTTTCAACGTTGATGCTGATTTTCCATTTATCGTAGGAATTTTGTAAATGAAGGAGGTGCTTGTTTATTGCAAATGAAATCGTAGACAGTTTTTTGTAGGTTGCATGAATGGCAGTGTCATCAGCGTAGAGGTTAATTTTTGTTAATGAGTAGTCAGGGATGTCGTTAATATAAAGATTGAAGAGCAGAGGGCCTAGCAAAGAACCTTGGGGACACCCTGCAGATACAGAGTGCTCGTTTGATAGTGTCTCGTTGATTCTAATTTTGAAGGAACGATTAGTGAGATAGGAGTGAATGAGGTGAATCAGTGGCGGAGGTAGGTTATAAGAAATTAGCTTGAAAGTGAGTCCATTAATCCAAACACGGTCGAAGGCTTTTATGGATATCCAGAAATACCGCGCCCGTGCTTTTCTTTTTCTGGAAACCTTCCGAGATGTGTTCAGTTAGTCTTAAGAATGGGTGCAAGGTAGAGAGCTTGTTAGTAAAACCATATTGATTGGGATTAAGAAGGTTATGTTCATTAATGAAATTTTTTAGTCTATGGAGAATAATAGATTTGGTTAATTTACTGATTGTGGAAAGAAGGGATATTGGCCTGTAACTGGATGCTAAATGGGGATCTTTGCCAGGTTTGTTAATAGGAAAAATAATGGCTTCTTTCCAGTTGTCTGGAAAGTGATTAAATTTGAGAATTTTATTGATTAGAATAGTTAAAATAAGGATTAGTTTAATGGGGAAGTTTTTTAATATGCGGTTAGTGATTAAATCTTTACCAGGATCTTTTTTGGCGTTAACATGCTTAATATAATGAATTATTTCATCGGGAAGGGCAGGTTCTATGAGAGTGGCAGGGGGAGTGGAAAGAAAGTTGTTCACGGTAAAGTTAATAATTTCGTCATTTTGGTTATAAGAATCATTTTCGCGATCATTTTCAATAAAGTTATTTTTAATATTAGTAGCGAGAAGGTTAGCTTTTTGCTGATCAGTGATCTCACTCAAACAAGCTTTGGTTACCTGTTTTATACTCCACGGAGAACGACGTTAAACGCCCTCTACCGGCTATACGTAATGCGCAATCACGCTGCATTTCTAATCATTTGCATATCTTCTCGACATGTACCTTCATGCCGAGTTTTGTTACGATCCCGCAATTATTTCTTGGTGCGCTAATTTTTTTGTCCATGAGTGTATTATTTGCAACAATTACGTAAATTTTGAATAAAAAAAAGGAAAGATATGCTGTGGTATAGTTTATAATTGAGATATTTTAATTTATTCTTAACAATGCTGTTGTTATTGGAAATAGTTAATCTAAAATCAGTGCCTCTTTTTACAAACTTCTATTTAACTTGCAATGCAAAATGTTTTGGAGGAGAGAGAGAGAGAATCTTGCACCTCTCAATTTTGAAGCAGATGTCTTTAACTGATTGTGCTAAAATTTTGTATGCACGTTTAGTGTGGATGACAATGCCCGTTTTGACCATTTATATTCCGATATCGCAATTAGTTAAAAATATATTAGTTAAAGTAATTTGTTCGGGAGGAATCTTTCAACCCAATTTTGAAGCTGATGTCTTTAACCGATTGAGCTGAAATTTTGTATAATTGCTTAGTTTGGATGACAAAGCATGTTTTGACCATTTATATTCCAATATCACAATTAGTTAAAAAGGTATTAATTAAAGTAATTTGTTCGGGTGGAATCTTGCAACTCAATTTTGAAGCTGATGTCTTCAACCGATTGAGCTAAAATTTTGTATATACACGTTTAGTTTCGATGACAATGCATGTTTTGACGATTTATATTCCGATATCAACGTAGTTACAGTAGAGATCTTGTTCAGGTGTTAAGGCGAGCTTGTTTACAGTAACACACGTGTCGTCCGGGAGCGTGGCTCAGATGGTAGAGCGCTCGCTTAACATGCCAGAGGTACGGGAATCGATACCCTTCGCCTCCAATTAGCATTTTTATATGTAAAATATTTTTGAAATTCTTTTGATTGGTACAACGAGATATTTTATGCTACCACTCTGTACACGTACAAAGTATGTTATATTTTAGAAGTTTTTATTTAACTTGCAATATAAAATGTTCGGGTGGAATCTTGTAACTCAATTTTGAAGCTGGTGTCTTCAACCGATTGTACTAACATTTTGTATACACGTTTAGTTTGGATGACAATGCATGTTTTGACGATTTATATTCCGATATCGACGTAGTTACTGTAACGATCTTGTTCAGGTGTTAAAGCGAGCATGTTTTCTATAACCACGGTGTGAACCGGGAGCGTAGCTCAGATGGTAGAGCGCTCGCTTAGCTTGCGAGAGGTACTGGGATCAATACCCCGCACATCCAACTTTTTTTTCCGTGTAAAATACTTTTTGAAATTTGTTTGATTTGTACACACACACAACGGGATATTTTTTTACAATACTTCCACTTAGCATACGTGTAAAGTATGTTATTTTTACTGGTCTAGAGGGAACACTAAGAAAGAGGTAGATCTATTAAGCTATTTCTATTTACTTTGAAGCATTCCATGATATCTTTTTACTCGATTCTAGTTTCTCCCGCAACACTTTTAATTGACCTAGTTATACTGTAATGATCTTGTTCAGGTGTTAAGGCGAGCATGTTTACAGAAACAGAGGTGCAGACCGGGCGCGTAGCTCAGATGGTAGAGCGCTCGCTTATCACGCGAGAGGTAAGGGGCTCGATACCCTGCGCCTCCAATCATAGTTTTTTCAAATAAAATATTTTTGAAACTCTTTTGATTTGTACAACGAGATATTTTATAATATTACCACTCTGTATACGTATAAAGCATGTTATATTTTACAAGCTTTTATTTAACTTGCGATGTAAAATGTTACAAGCTTTTATTTAACTTGTAATGTAAAATGTTCGGGTGGAATCTTGCAACTCAATTTTGAAGCTGATGTTTTCAACTGATTGAGCTTTAATTTTGTATACACGCTTAGTTTGGATGACAATGCATGTTTTGATGATTTATATTCCAATATCGCAATTAGTTAAAAAGATATTAATTTAAGTAATTCGTTCGGGTGGGATCTTGCAACTCAATTTTGAAGCTGATGTCTTCAACCGATTGAGCTGAAATTTTGCAAGCACGTTTAGTTTGGATGACAATACATGTTTTGAGGATTTATATTCCGATATCTCAATTAGGTAAAAAGATATTAATTGAAAATCTTTTACTCCTGTTAGCTTTTTATTCCGCCGAGCAGCTTATTGGATTGAGCTTAAAGATGTTTAGATTTTTTTTTCGACCTTTTTTCAAAAACCATCTTATTTTTTCTATCCAACTGAGACAAAAAAACAATTACCTAATCCGAAAAATCATTTATTTCTCCACGATACGTATAATTCTTTCTAAAAAATATTATTTTCTTTTTTTTACAATTTTTTCTAAAATGAGTGAAAATCGATGCGTTTTCATGAAAATGATTTCTAAATCATTCCGTATGAATTTTTTTTCATGTTATTGAATCGATATTCTGCACTAAGAAAGTTCAGGTTTTTCTATTTTAGAATCAGCCATTTAAAAAATTAAATACCTAAACAATTTTTTTTCGATTTTTCAAAAACTACTTAAATTTTTAATAAAACTTTTAAAAATTTCGTCATTTTTAAATATACTCGCACGGAAATATTTTTTCGTTTGTAGAATAGCATTAACCAAATTTTGCACAAAAATTGAAAAATTTGGTTTAAGATTACGGATTTTAAAAAAAAATAATTGTGTTTTTCGTTTTTAATATAGTATTATAGTAAAAGCAAGAAAAAAAAAGGGTTTTGATATTTTAATTAATTTTGCTTTGTCCAATGTTGTTTTTGTCTAACAGTGTTTATCCCCCCTTCTTCCCATTATCCTCTTGTTGCAGCTCGAGTGAAATATCTATCATATATATGTGGCCAGGCGGGAAAAACGATTGAGTTCCCCCTAGCTGGACTGTTTAAAATTAACCGGCAAACGACCTTGCAACAATGATGCGTTGAATGAGATTAACAGACTGAGAAACCTCTGTCCAGTAAAAACTAAAAAGTAAAAAATAAATTAAAAGTAAAAAAAACTTTTTTAAGAACAAGCTTTTATTTAAATGCTCTAAAAAGAATAAAATAAACTTTTCTTTTAAAACTTTTTTGCTATCAACTTATAAAGTCGTTGCACATTTTATGATATAAAAGCTTGTCGCGAGATTTACATGTGTAGATAAAAACAAGCAAATTAAATAACTTGATCTTATTGATTTTGATTTTTAAAATTTTGAAACTAAGTAAATAAGAGTACTTAAATCTCGCGACAAGCTTTTTTATCATAAATTGTGTAACGACTTTATAAGTTGATAGCAAAAAAGTTTTAAAAGAAAAGTTTATTTTATTCTTTTTAGAGCATTTAAATAAAAGCTTGTTCTTAAAAAAGTTTTTTTTTTTTACTTTTAATTTTTATCCATAACATCTTTTAAAATATTAAATTAAATAACATTCAAGTTATTAGTTACCATACACACATGTTGGTGGTACTCATCAATAAATTCATTGTAATCCAAATATTTTCAATCGTGTGTGTTGTGAAAGACTGGCATATTATTGTAATTAAAGTTTTACTTCCCAATTTTTCTGTTATATTTAAAGGTATTTTTTTAATGATAACCTTCTTAATTGGAAAAAGTGATACATTTTCATTAAAAATGTTCTAGTAATATTATTGTATTAAGAGATTTATTCATCAAAAGAAAAAAAGTACCTTATTCACACAGTTTTAGAAGCAATAACGTTATTGTTTCTAAATTGAATTTTATACTAAAAAAATTATTAATATCTTTGATAATGTGTAAAGCTTGACAATCCTTAAGTAATTGCCGTTGAATACATGATAAAAGACGATAATTTCTTTTTTGTTAAGACAAAACATGAAGTGTTTAATAAACTTGATATTAAAAAAGTCACTTTCAAAAGTATTAACAATTAAAAAATCTTTATCCCTACTTTCTCCCTTTTACTTCTTACTCTTTTTCTTACCTCCTTTTATTAATGAATTGTTTTTAACTTTATTAATATTGTTAAGAAAGTCATTATAAAGAATTCATCATTATTATTATTATAAAATAATTTGTTAAGTGTTTTTACTTAAATAGGAAAAATTAAGTCCATATGTTTATAAACAGTGTTAAAACTTTTTTGATGACGAAATTGTCGTATCATTATCTATGACCTGTATTTGGAATAATTTTAATAAGGGATACTGAGAAACCCTTTCTCTTTATATTTACAGTTGTATAATTCTTGTAGACTCATGGTTAATTTCTCCTGAATATATGTCCTGGTTCACATAAAAATCTACAAAAAAATTTGACAAAGCACTTAATCGTTCTTTTATTCTTTATATATATTTGTAGCTTTCAGTTAGAAGAAAATAACATAAGTAGGTTTCTGCCTCTGTTTGAAGTGAGTAGATTTCTACTAGTATAAAAAATAAAAATCATAGACAAGTTTCAAGTATTACAAAAATTTAACCCTATCCTAGAATCATCTCATCACTATTAGCGTTTTCGTTTTTAAAATCACAAAACTGCAATGTGCCTAACATTTGGCTTCACTTCAATATCTTTTTTTTCTAATTTTCTTTCTTTTTTTAGCGGAAAACGTATATGAAATTCGACAAATGCCTTTTTTAAAAAAATTTACACCTATTTTCAACTATTGCATAAATTTACACCTATTTATCACATATTTCACTAATTAAGATGCATTAATTATGGAAATAATGACAACTGTACTGGCCAGTGACGCTACGCATCTTTCATCTGATCCTTCTTTCTGCATTTACCATTTTTGAGCAATGTATAGCGATATAATGTTACGATCGTATTATTCATCATTCTTTATAGCATTAGATTTTTCAATTCCTATTATTGGTTCACTCTTTCCCTATGTATATTTATTTATTTATATATATATATCTTGTTCAAATTTTCAATCGTTAATAAAATACTTCTTATTTATCCACTGAAGAGATCAAATACATTTTTTAAACTTGTAGGGAATGATACTTGATGTTAATACAGTTTTTGCAAATATTAATTCATTAGTTAAATTTTCTTTTTTCTGTTTAAATTTATTCTGTGCTATTTCCGACGAAGTTAGAATTAGTACCAACAAATGGTGCCAATAAGTTTTTCTGACCAATTTTTTCTTGGCTTCAAATATATTTTTTTAAACTTGTAGTGAATGACACTTGATGTTGATACAGCTTTTTCACAAATTAATTCCTTAATTAAATTTAATTAACTAAAATAAAAGTTTTCCTTGTTGACCTAAGTAGGAATTGACTTAATTTTTTTATAATACTTGTTTTCCTTCTATTTATTCTCATAACTTCTTTGATTTCTCCAAATTAAAGTGCATGGGCTATAAGGCAGTGGTTCTTAAACTTTCGATCCTCGTGGCCTCCTTTTATGTATCAACCTGACCTCGCAGACCCCCAAAATTTTAACCACCCCCACACCCATACTTCTAACATATGGCTGTATGATTTAAAGGTTCCTGAATATTCCTAAGACTTTTTCTCTGCCTCTACTACGTATACAGACTATTTAACACTTCTTTTTTTTCCTTTAAGAAAACAATAAACGTTTAATTAAAAATATTACAAGATATTAATTTCAAACAAATAACGTACTTAACTGTATTAATTATATTTTTTAATGAGAAGGAGAGATGGTGATGCGTTTTTGTTTTCAAGAGCTGTTATATCAAATGTAATATTTGAAGTCTGCAGTTTCAATTCTGGTTGTACGCTTTCCAGAAGGGTTCTGTACTTATTTTGAAAATAAGGAATAGCTGAAAATGTTCTTTCACATAAATAAGTAGTTTGGAAACGCATCACAACTTTCAGAGCTTTCGTGGACAACTGGGAAAAACTTACCTTTAAGTGATCCCAAAAATTTGGAAGGGACCTATTCTTGTAAAGCAATTTTTCAAAGCACCCCATCTATGGAAATTTCTATCAGCTGTTCTTCAAATGATATGAGACCATTCTGTTTACGTAAATGTACTGCAAATGGATCCTTAATCAAGTTATTTTTTTCTTTTTTAAATGAAAGACCTTCGTGGACTCCTAGAAAGGAGTTAGGGATTCCCGGGGGTTCATGAACCCCGGTTAAGAACAGTCGGACTAAAGTAAAGTAGTTAAATGAAATTCTTTCCCCAAGTGAGAATCACTAAATAGGAGCCACGTATTGAGATAGCTGCTGGAAGAAACAAGTGAAAATGTATATTTCTCTCGTTTTCCGTATTACATGTATTACATTAAATCATGTACACACAAATGTCTGTTCGAAAATATTAAGCTGAAAATACAAGAAAACAATTTTCATTTTATTTTTAATGCTTTATTTTTATTCATATCAATGTTAGTACATTAATCAAAGTTTAAGAATACATGTTTTTCCAAAAGTTGTTACATTTCTTGAAACGATTCAAATTTATTAGATTAAACATAATATAAGCGTTTTTAATAGATTAAACCTTGCATAAAATGTTAATTAAAGCGTTTTCCGTTTGAAGTTTTCTTACAATTCGACCTTGATCCTCGTTCTTTCCTCCATAACATGGCAAAGCATATGTCTCTTCAAACAGCCTTTCTGGGAAAAGTCCTTGCCACATTTGAGACAAATGAAATTTCGTTCAGTATGCATTTTTTCATGCT